GTGGGGGGGGGGGGCAGGAGAGGCCCAAAGCCCCCCCCCCCCCCCAAGAATTGCCATTGGCACTTCCAGGCTCAGCATCTGGCCCTGGGGGTACCCCTGCTGCCATGGCCACCTGCAGATAGTCCCCACTCAGCCTGCATTGCTGCCTGTGTGCAGTTGCCGTACCTGTCCCCCCCAGTTTCAGGACGCATGCATCACCTACGGATGGGAAAAGCCATAGCCCTGGGGGCATGGCCTAGTTGGCACAAGGGCTGGATTAAGATGCAGTACAGTGGGAGGAACTGTGGCCCTGGGGGTGGGGCCTGTCTCACCTGCGGCGGAAGAGGAAGTACTTGCGGGTGGCAAAGCGTACCAGGCGCTGGCCCAGGGGCTCAAGGCGCCGGCGCTGCAGCTCCTCCAGGCGGCGCTGCCGGTGCAGGAAGGTCCTGACCAGTGGGTCTGTGCCAGGTGCTACCTCCCCTTCCCCTTCGGTGCTGCTCAGCAGTGCCTGCAGCTCAGGTGGCAATGGCTCCACCTCTGGGGGCCAAAGCAGGGTCAAGGGGGAAGGCAGGGGGTGCTGGTGCTGGGTAAGTACAGGTAGGCATGGTGCCCAGACTCACCAGAGCCATTTTGCACACGGTCGTGCAGCTCCTGCAGCCGGGTGAGGTTGCGCTCCAGGGCCAGGTCTGTGGTGTTGATGTAGATGTACATGTAGCACGAGGGCTCTGAAGACACTGTGTGCACTTTGTGGTAGGCACCTGCTGGCAGCTAGGGGACACTAGCCAAGTAAGGGGGGGTCCATGGGCTTACCCCACCGCCCCTTTCCTGCCTCCCAGTCCCCCACAGCCTCACCTGGAGCTGGTCACCCTGGAACAGTGTGTGGTTGCGGCCCTCAGCCATGATCTCCACAACTACCTTCCCCTGCAACAGCTGCAGGCTTGTGTTGCCTAGGTCCTCGCTCACAAAGTTCTCCAGGTGCAAGCCTTGGGGGTTGGAGGTAACAGAGTGGGTTGGGGGAGGTAGTGAAGGAAGTAGAAGGGGTAATGAAGTGGGTAGTGGGAATAAATAGGGGAGGCAGGAGAGATAATGGGACAGGGTAATAGAGGATAGCAAGGGTAATAGAGGGGATAACTGAGGGAGTAGAAGGGAGTCATGAAGTGGGTAGCGGGGGTAATAGAGGAGGTTGGAGGGGGTAGGGGGTAAATACAGGTGTAGGAGAGTAAAAGTGCATAGTAGCAGAAACCTATTACCACCACAAATAAAACAATGGCAGCCAATTAACCAACATCAAGTCCCTTTGCTACTATGTAACACAATTGCTGAGGACACTATCATTGACAAAGAAAAAAAGACTGCAGACAAGCTGGGGGTGCTCAAAGTGTCTACAAAATGCCAAGTTTACACAACTGTTGTCCTCTGTCTTCTATACGCATTAGAGACCTGCCCCCTCCATCATCGCCATATCAAAAAACATAACCACCTGGAACAACACCACCTACGCAGTATAGCAGGTTTTAAGTGGTCTGACAAAATCATCAACAATGCAGTACTATGACTGGTGGAAGCCATGCTAGCACGAAAGCAAATGACCTGGGGTCGGCCATGTCGTACATACAGACAACAATCATGTGTCTAATAGAGTTCTGTATAGTGAATTTGAAAGAGGCAGTAGGAAGGCTGGCCATCCGAAACTCCAGTACACTGACTGCAGTATGCGGCAGATACAGTCTACTGGGCTGGACTTAATGTCCTGGGCAGATATGGCCTATGATAAGTGAGCTTAGTGCTCCACTACGAAGGAGCAACAGAATATCACTGTACCACCTTGGCTGACAGCAAGACACCAATTTGCCCTGGCACATCTCCTGAACCCTACATATGAATGACCTTCCTTCTGTGTAGGAGTAATGAAGGAAGTAAGTAGTAGGGGCAATAGAGGGGGTTGGGGTATGGATTGTAGAGGTGAGGGGGGACACACTGTCTCTGGATAACAACCTGGTACTGCATCTGGCAGCTGGGAGGGGTCCAGTGCCAGCAGTGGTATCCACCCCTGCCCCTCCTTGCCCAGGCTGGGCCCAGCCCTGTGACCCCTAGTGAGGTTGGGGGAAGCCCTGGGGTCAATCTGTGCCCAGCCCCAGCTGTTACACAGCCTCCTATACTGCCAGGGCCCACCCCAGGTTACCCCATGGCTACCTGGAAAGTCAGCAATGAAGACCACCTCGGTGTGGTTGTCCAGGGAGCCCTCAATCTCCTGCAGCCGAGTGCGCCAGGGTGACAGATCCACAAGCAGTGGCTGCAGCCACGGTGTGGGCCGGAAAGGCGACCACTCAGCCCTCACGATGTCCACCCGTGGGTCAAAGAGGCTAGCAGGGCCAGGAGGAGCGGGTGTGAGTGAGGGCCTTAACCCTCAATCTCTGCCCTTTGCCCACACCCTCTGCTCACCGCTGCTGAAAACGGTCATTGATGGACACCCAAACATCGAAGTAGATGTGTGGCTGGGACACGTTGTAGGAGGCTAGGCGCTCACTGAGGCAGGTGGCATACTGCTTCAGCATGTCAGCGTGGTCCTTCCAGCGGCGGCTCTGGGTAAATACCTGCCCCGGGATTCATGAGTGGTCATTAGGGACCAAAGAGAACACAGCTTAGTGGGGCAAGCAGGGTCCACATGCCAAAGGGCCTGGTGTCCTGGGATGGGGGTCACCATCCACCACCCAATTCTTGTCTCTCCACGGGCCTGGCTTCACCACTGTGCTCCCTGCCTCAGTTTCCCCAATGGAAAGGCTAGGTGGTCATTATGGGGCCAGAGTGAACATGGGTTTGCACTTACCCCTGGCTTGAGGTAACCGACCTCGCCTGTGAGGCCATCACGGTAGGTGATTTTCACATGCTGATGGGAGCGGGAGTGAACCATCATGTCCCACGAGTAGCCATACAGCCCATTGGTCCAGTTGTTATAGCCCTGGGGGGGAGCAGAGGGCAGGGTCAGCAAGGGAGTCGGGCCTGGGGTGACTCCACCCCTAAGCTCTCCACTCTGCAGGGGACGTTTGGCAGAGGGGCAACTGTGCTGCCCTCCATTAGGCAATCCCATACCAGTACCCACAATCCTTTACTCTGCATTGCCAGCCCTGCCTCCCTGTTACTACCCACACCCCTTTGCTGCATGGCTTTGAATCACGAGCTCCTGGAACCCAGGAGTCCAGTTGGCTGTGTTACAGAGGAAGAAAGAAAAAGGGGTGCCTGTGCCTTTAAGGTAGACAATGCCACCAGGCTATATAAGCCTGGCACCAGGAAGCCTTGGACGGAGGTGTCCTACCAGGGGAAGAGAGAGGAACTGCTGGTGATCAAGCTGAACTAGGGCTAGGGCTAGGGCCTGGCAGAAGTTGGCTGTAGGGGTCAGACTCTAGCATTTCCCAGCATGCCTTGTTCCAGGCCCCCAGCCCCATTTCCCAGCATGCCTTGCAGTGCCTCACCTGGGTGATGAAGTGGGAGTAGGGCAGGAAGAGCTGCTCCAGCACGTAAAGCAGGGTGAAGGCAGCCCCAAGGTGCTGTCGCAACCTCGGCCCCTGGCTCTGATTCTGGGGGCTGGGTTCCGGGGGCTCCAGGGAGGGCAAGGCCCAGCGCAGGCACATGGGCACCCTGGCAGCCAGGCAGCGTGGCCAGGCTGGGTGGCAGAACAGTGGACTGGCAGCCATCATCACATAGGGGAACATGCCTGCCAGGACAGGAGTGGGGGAGGGGCAGTCAGTCAGATGCTTGGGTTCCATGCTACTGGGCCTAGGGGACTTGAAGGGGGAAGTGGGTTGGCAGCCAGAATGGGAGCAGGACGTGAAGGATTTGAGGGGGGCAGATGCCTGGGTCCCCTGCCTGTGCTCACCGATGCTGAAGAGCTGGGAGTTCATGCAGTGGAAATAAGTGACAAAGATGAGGGCCACAGGCCGGGTGACATCAAAGAAGAGCAGGAAGCCGGCTGACAGATCCAGGACCAGGCCCCCGCCATGCACCACCAGCAGGCTTGTCATCTCCTCCGACAGCACCAGCCTGAGGAGTGGGAAGAGTGGTGAGGGACCCCTCCCAAAATGCCCCTGATCTCCCCCCACTCCCCTGCTACCTGCAGCCCCCAACACTGGAGTTATTTGTCAGGACATCATCCGGTTTCCATGAGGCATCCTCCCACCCCCCAGCTTGGACTGGGGAAACCCCTGAACCCCTCCCACCTCCTGACATCGAATCCACTTCCAGAGCCAGCCACTAGGAGGCAAATGGCAGCCCCTGGTGCCAAAGGCAGAACTGCAGGGCAGGGAGGCTGGAAAAGGCTGGGCCCAGAGTGACCCTAAACCCTGGGATTTGCCCCTCCTTCCCCACTCACCGGAAGGGGCTGAAGAGCCAATGGCGAGCCAGAGAGCCCATGGAATAGCCGCCCACCCAATCAGCATCCAGCTTCTTGATGCCCGCAATGAAATAGACAATGAAGATCTGCAATGAAGATAGGTAAGTGTTGGCAGGAGCTAGGGAAACTGAGGCAGGCAGGTGGGCCCTGAAGAGGGGAGCACCTGCCAGGAGAGGGCCCCTGAAGGGGTGGAAACTGAAGCAGGAGAGTGGTGGAGGGATGGAATCCAGCTGTCCTGGCTTTGGGCACCCCCTCAGCTAGCCCCAACCCTTCAGACCCCCCCACCTCCCACAGGTGTGCGAGGAAGGGAACCCAAGTGTCCTGGTTCTCAGGCCTCCTCCTCTAACCCAGTCTTCTCCCTGAACAAGGGAAGAACCCAAGCATCCAACAGCCATAGCCCTGCTCTGCCAGACCCAGGCCTGGCGGGTCTCAAAGGCAGGCAAACCTGAAGTAGGGGTGCCCAGAAGGATAGAACCCAGGCTCTGAGCACCCCATTTGCCCAGCCCCAACCCAATGGAGTCCATGCCCCTGGAGATGGAACCTAGGTGTCTGGCATGCCCCTGCCCCCACTACCTGTGCCCGCAGCAGCGTGTAGTTCCACAGGGGCACTGGGGTGTTGCGCTTCCGGGGGTTTAGGAGCCCATCAATGGACCTGGGGGTGGTGGGGGCACAGTCCTTCCAGGAGGGAAAGAACCCAGGTTTCCGGGCTCCCAGCCTCCTGCTATAACCAGCAAGCCCTGATTCTGTCCCAGAGCTGGGAGAGAACCCAGGCTTCCAGCACCACCACCCCTTCCTCCCCCCCACTAGCCCCTGCTCCCCTACGAGGGAACCCAGGAGTCCAGTGGTGAAGGCAGTGGGGGTGGAGCCTGGTAGGCCCTGCCCCCTGCAGCCCCACCCACCTCTGGCCACACCCCCAGGCTCCTCCTCCTCCAACTGCCCCTTTGCCTGCTCCTGCCCCAACAGGCCTGTACCCTGCTCCCTCCATGGGCACAAGGCCTTGCCCTTGGCAATGGCTCCACCCCCTCCAGGGGCCACACCCTCAGCTCCTCCCTCTTGAATGCTCCTGCCCCCATTGACCCAGCTCCCTAGAAGCCCCGCCCCAGCCCAACCCTACCAGCAGCGTTGGGCGCTCAGCAGGCTGAGCTGGAAGGCCAGCAGGCCATAGAGGTAGGAGTGGTTGTTCCAGGTGGTCTTGTCCAGCAGGAAGACGTACCAGTAGGGCAGCAGGAAGAGCAGGCAGCTCAGGCGGTAGGCGCAACCCAGCATCACGCCCATGGCGCCTGCGGGCACATAGTGCCAGGACCCCAGCACCGGCACAGCACCTCGGTTCAGTAGGTGGGGTGGGGAACCCAAGTCTCCGGGCTCTCAGGCCCCGCTAGATCCCGCTTCCCTCCCATGTCAAGTAAGGACCCAGGCATCCTGGCTCTACAGTGCCAGGGGAGGAAAGTCCTGGCTGCCAAACCCCTCGTGCAGCAGGGCTGGCAGGAGGAGAAACTGAGGCAGGGACAGAACCTGGGCATCCTGGCTGCCTCCCTCCCCCAGGGCCCAGGTTTTGGAGGTGGGGGTTGTTTCCTGCCCCTGGGGGCTCTTGGCCCCAGCCCTGCCCCCTGTCTGAGCCCTGCCCTCTCACCCAGCAGCATGAGCAGGTAGAGCAGGTACATCCAGTCAAGGGGCAGGGGAACCAGGCTGTCGAAGAGAGGGAAACGGCAGACCTCCAGCCCGTCCAGGTACTTGTGGTCCAGGTAGCCCAGCCCCCGCTCTTGTGGGATGTCCAGTGCCATCAACAGGCCTGGTGGAAAGAGGGGGCACAGGGGTCAGGGGAGTGGGAGAGCTCCTGGCTGCCCCCTCCCCAGGGCTGCCCCCCACCATGGCTCCATCCCCAGCTGGGCGACAGGGATAAGGGTGAGGAAACTGAGGCAGGGCAGGAGTGGGGCTGGAGGTAGGGAAACTGGGGCCTAGGTGTGCCAGGGGCAGGACTAAACGTGGGGAAACTGAGGCAGGTAGAGTGGGGGGGGCAGTGCTGGAGATGGCACAAGGGGTGGGGGGAGTTGGGAGGCAAGGTGGGTGCCTAGATGCCTGGGATCTGGGAGAAGGAGGGGCATCTGGGTGGGCGCTAGCCTTCCCCTCACCCAAGGCCAGGTCAAAGGTCATCCCTCCCCTGCTGGTAAGTGTTGCAACAGGGCTCCTCCCCTGCAACTGGACAGCGCCATGGGGAGGGGGGTTAGGAAAAACCCGGGAGTCCCCTGCCCCAGCCTGCAACCCCTGTCAGGCCCAAGGGGGAGGAGCCAGGACTTCTGGGTTCTCTGCCTCAGTTTCCCTGAAGGGAGCTGCCCACAGAGTGATGCTGTACATGCCCAGCACTGCAGCCAGGCATGTACAGCATGGGGTGGCAGGAGAGGAATGCATATGTCCCATATCTGGCCCCCAGACTCCTGGGTCTCCAGCAGGCCTCATGCCTCAGTTTCCCTGCTGCAAACCAGCCCACAGGGGGGCTGCCCACATGTCCTGCAGTGCAGTCCAGGCCTATGGGGGGCACGATGGGACAGAGACCCACCCCACAGTCTGGCCCTGGACTCCCGGGTCCCTGTCTGCCTGCCCCACCTCAGTTTTCCACGCACCAAAGAGGAAGCGGAAGGCAGCCAGGGAGGCTGGGTCCGTGGGCCGGTTGAGGAGGCGGACGAGGGGGGTCCAGCTGCTCAGCTCCCACCAGTCGAAGCCCAGCAGGCGCCGGGTGCGGCTCGGCCCGTCCTGGGGGGATCCCGCTGGCGCCTCGACCCCCGGGCCCGGCGGGGGCCCAGCACGCGGCCTCCGGCGGGGGTGCGGCTCCTGCATCGGGACAGCTGCGAGGCGGGGGGTCAGGG